TGATTCAGTGGTTCAAAGGTGTGATTCCATGTTCAATATACTCTAATACTTGGTTTTTAGGTCTGATAGCTAAAATGCTACCTCTCAAAAAAATAGTAGATTGAAATGAAAGAAGTATATTGTTGGGGACCTCAATGGTTTTCATTCCAACTGCTGATTTTAGAGCTTGTCTTCATGTTCAAGATGTTTGTATTTTCATTGTCATGCTAAGTGCAATAATATCATCACCCCTCACATTAGCTAATATTTCGGCACAGTGGGTTTAGTGTGAGGTTTACTGTTAAGAGAGAATGTAAATTTCTATTTTATTTGGTCTAATAAAATTGATTTTCTTGGTTGATTTGTCATATCTGATTAGATTGCCATGCCAGAATGTAACTGATAAAATTTGTGTATTAAGAGTAACATATTTGCGTTGACAGTTTTTGGGTGGTGTTGTTATTTGTGCCTATATTATGGGTGTTATCTTTTGCCAATTCTTTGCAGGAATGATGTTTATTAGGAATAAATGGTTACTAGTATATAACATGAATTAGCACTATTAGTCTCACTTGGTCCATGTATCAGATGTTCACCTGTCACAGGGCACCCATGTCACTCTTCCTTTACATTTTGACTATTGGTTAAGTCTAGATAAGTTATTCAGCTGAGCTCTCATCACAATTTGTCACAGGATGCTCCCTCTGCTAAGAGAGAACAACTAAGAGAAGGTGTAACTATTCAGCTTAATTCTGGAACTATTCCACTCCACATTTCCCATAGGATATTATGGATACCCTGTGTGACAGGTGAACATCTGACAAATGGACCAAATGAGTGCTATCCATGTATTATATACTAGTACAACATTTATTTTTATTAAATGTCCTGTCCCCCTACTTATTTTAGATGTGATAATCTCTTTTTCTAACTTCGTTAGAAAATAGATTTATGGATTCTGTGACACTCCACTTTAGGGATTTTGTTCTATTGTGAGGACAGGAGCTACGTAAAACATCCTGTGTTTCTAGCACTTAGAATAAGGCCTGTCATGTGTTAGGTTACTATAGGTAACTTGTATCAAATGCTGAGGAGACTGACCTGACCCAAATAGAGGACTTTTATTAAAATGTAGTGAAATAAATATTTGGGTGGATATAAAGACTTAAATGCCATATTGAAAGGATAAGCATTAAAAGGAACTATTGAAAAATAAAAGAATGGCATTATGCAGAAAATTTGGCAATACAGCGATATGTATTATGAGTGCAACTAAAATGTGGGAAGATAAGTCTGTAGGGTATCACATTACCCTGTGATTTGTGATGACATCACTGAAGTTTTGGTGAAGGGAATCAAGAAGGAAAGAGATGAACTTAATGTTTTCTTGTTAGGACTTGCTATTTGAATGTAAGTGTGAAAAGGAACTGCAGATTTCTATACTCACCATTTTACATGGTTTTAGCAAATTGCCGTAAAGTATTTTAGTGTATAGAATAGTATTTATAATTTTTAAAAATATTGTCATCCCTCAGTTTCAGATGTGAATTTTGTAGCACATGTTTGAATAGCTTTCACATTTTTTATTTGTGTCAGAGTAATAAAGTCAAACTTTAATTCAATTTAAAATTATATATATATGTTTTTTTCAAAAAGTAATGAAAGTTATAACCGTATTAATTTTTTTGGTATGCTTTGTAACTGATTTTTGAATATTTTCCTCATAAGACATATGCATGATATTTTTAATTATGGGCAGTATTCTTTTGTTGTATTGGGGAATACTATTTTTCTATTTTTGGAGGTGAATTCCCAGTGTATATGGGTTAATATAGCTGCTATAATAACAGGAAGCTATTCTTTTGAGAAATACACCAGTCCTTTAATGCTAAATATTTTAACGCTTTTGTCTTTTTGTGTTTTGCTTATTGTACACATATTATTAGATTTAGACCATCTCCTTAGGTGATGATAATGATACTTCATGTCATTCACTCAATAATCTAGCTTAATGTTTTAAAATGCCACATTTTTATATGTTTGCATACTTAATTTTTTTTTCCATTGTAGTGATTTTGTTGGAATATATATAGATTATGTGGGCATGGATGTGGAAGAGGCAGTGTTGGGGCTAAATTCTCAATTTTCACCAAAATTCTTTGACTCTAATGTAAGAAATTTTATCTCTTCTTTTGCATTTCATACTAATGTTCACCTGTTAATACCCTTAAATATATTCTTTTTTCTCAATTAGAAGAGTCAGAAAAGGAAATATGAAACATATCCCACATGTTTATATGTATTTGACATATCAACTTACCTATATAGAGTAGATTATCCAATTGGTAAGAGATAGCTTTTCTTCCAGTTGTGCATTTCAGTACTTTCTAACCTGTTCTAATACGAATAAGAGGTGTGCATAAAAGACGATAAATATAAAGAATGAATCGACAGAAGTCTATGGGCAGTGAACACAATGCAATATATATATGCCTGCCTTTTGAATTGTACACCCGAAACTTACTGGATTTCATTAACCAATGTTGCCATAATAAAAATAAATTTTAAAAAGTGAATCTACCAAGGTGAAATAAACATGCCCTAATTAAGATAAGAAGTGTCATGGTATACATACAGTCAATTCTCAGTTAAAGAATCCAAGAGCTAGAAATGATAAGACTACTGGGAGAGAATTTGGTTAAGTAGACCATAATTTAAATGTTTAGAAAATTGTATCTATTTAGACTTGAAAATTACTTTAGGATATTGAAAATAGTATATATTCAGAGTCAGGAATTACTTTGGAATATTAAAAGTTTATGATTATGTTTTGTTATTTATAAAGCACCACCAAATGTACTATTGTTAAGATTAAATGAAAAGCTTTCTTGAAGGAGATGTGAGATTTGATGACATTAAGAATCTTAATTTGGACTAATTATATTAAAAGTAACCTGAGGTTTTGAAAAATGATTTTAGAAGTATGGCTATAGTATTAACTTTGCCATTATCATCCAAACAAGAACACTCAAGTTTAAATTCTGTATACTTGGACAAAAATCATAGGGCTGCTTTATCCCTTAGCAAAAGAAAAATTTCCATTAAAAGGAAAACTTTAGAACAACTAATGTAAAATAGGAAGCATACTTGACACATCGAGATATTTTATTTGTGCCAATAATGAGACATATGACCTCGGTCAAATAAGCTTGGTCACATAACCTTAAGAGTTTTCAACTGCCTAGTGTTAAAGACAATACAAAGCTATAATTTCATGGTGGGCAAAGTAATATTGTAGATGATTATCCCTGAGTCATTACAGATCTCTTTCATATTTACAACGGCAGAGTAATATTTGGCTTAGGTCACAAGTCTTTTTCTCATCTAGCATATATTCAGATGGAGGTAGTGGGGAGTAGAGAAATGGGCAACAGCAGGAAGATTAAACCAGGCTTGTATTAGCAAAAGAGGAAAACATTTGGAATGACTGAGCGGGTTATATTAAAAATGTATATTTTACTGGTTTTATATTCAGTGTTTGAAAAGTTATTGAAATGGATTATTTAGCACTCTGGTGTAAGATTTTTAGTCTAGAATGAAACTGATAATAAAATGACCCATTAGTAAACCTAGGATTTTTAGTTTGGTAAAGAAATTTTTATAATAGAAAACATTATTTTTAGCAATCTAAAGTACCACATGACTCACATTTTAACAACTTCAAAAAAACAGTTGGAAAGTATAAATATGTATTTATATAGAAATACATAGTGAGTAGGTGAAACATTTTGAAACTAATAGTGCTTTAATTCCATTTAAATTTGCCACATTTGGATCCTAACAGTAATTGTAATTGAGAGTGTATGTGAGTGTCAGTTTAACTGAAAACTAAGAGCTTTTTATTACCAAATAGGGAATCCAAAAGGAGAGTCAGCATTAGGTGACCCCAAAACCCTTCTATCCTACCCCAACCCAGCTTTGTTGTGCTCTATGTTCCTTACTACTAATTGATTGACCTTTTTAACGTTAGAACTGCAATATCTTCATTTATAGGATGTTATCTTAAATGTCTTATTGGTTAGAAAGATACTTTGTAACAAAATTTAGTTATTGGAGTTAATGTGGCTGAAATTGTCAAAATAATACATATTAAGGATTGCTGGTTTTGTTAAATTCATAATACTTATATTTGCAAATATATAATTATAATTTCAATAAATTCCTTTATTTGGGAGTTAGTCAAATAGGTTGGCCTAATTTTTCAGAATTGTGTGAAATATGTTCTTAAAATCTTTTCTTATAAAATTCGTGGAGAAGCCTGGGAAAGAGAAATTGATATTCAGAAATGACGTAGTGTATCTATAGCCATGAGATAGGGAAGAATTTTGATTTAATTATGTAATAGAGACACTATCTTAAGTGTACTTTTATATTTAATGTGCATGAATCAAGGAAATTATAACTACTATTTTAATAATCTAAAAATTTTTATGTTTTACAATGTCACTTTTTGACTGTTAAGTCAGGGATTTTATTATTAACATTTCGCCTCTTGAAGGTTTTTGGTTTCTTTAATAGAATTTCTTTTATATTTAAATAGAATAAAAGTGGTAAATGTGTATATTGTTGGTTAACTCTATCAAAGAATACTGAAAATTTTTTGTTGTTGTTTTATCTCCTTTTAGAGTAAGAACTTAAAAGTTTTCATCCTTTTCTTTATCTTTTCTCCTCCAGACATTCTTTACCCATAGAGAATAGATTCACTCATTGATATCTGATTGGGGTTATTCTTTACATAACTTGAAAAAAGCACAAAACTGGAGTGCTAAGGCGACATCGTAAAAGCAAGGGGGCTGTTAGCATAATGCTAAAAAAGTAGTAAATTAAGTTTGTGGTCCTCTAAGTTTGATGTTGTATAACAATACTTCAATCAAATAGTCTGTACATTGTGGAAATTAGAGTATGCAAATTCAATAACTCTTCAAAATTGTTTGAAAAGCCTAATTTTTGTTACTTTTCAGATGGTCCATTTAAGCAGACCTCTTCCATAGCCATAGCCGGAGCTATAATTGGAGCTGTCCTTGCCCTTTTCATCATTGCTGTCTTTGTGACGGTGTTGCTGACTCCTCAAAAAAAGAGACCATCCTATCTTGACAAAGTGTAGGTAACTTTTTGCCTGTGTTTAACTATGAACATTCAGTATGTGTCAGTCTTTATATCTGTCTTTACAGTTACTCATGTAAAGTGAGATGAAAATAAAGATACTGTTAGCTCTTTGTGAGATGACCATGGTTTCATCAAAATGTCTCAAACTACCTCTTGATAAATACATAGTGCCAAGGGGCTGCTGGAGACAAGTATGTTAGACGTCTTTTTCACCATTTAGATACCTTTCCAAATGGTATTATAATGACACTCTACGTTGCCTTGCCTTCTGAATAAAAATGCAGGTCTTTGATGAAGAAAGATAGATTAAAAAAATCTTAAAAGTTTAATTGCTTCTTCAGGTTGTATATGCCTGTCTTATGTACAGATATAAATTAATTTTCAACTGCCAAGAGTTAATAAATGCATTGAGTTTTAAAGCTTTTTTCCTTAAAGAATTTTGGTTTTGGTGAATCATAAAATATGCATTCTTTTTATTTAAAGAGAAAGCAGGTTTTTGTCCTAATCATTGTGATAGAATTATAACGCAGAAATTTCACTTTGCTATAGAATCAAAAGACCAAGGTCCCAATTCATTTAATTCATTATCAGCTTTGTTGCTTCATCTGTGAAATGTGAATAATACCTTTCCCACTTACTGCACATGGTTGTGGTGAGTAGAATAAGATATGTTGTTTATGGACTGTGAAGCTTTACACAAATGGCATTATTTCTTGTGTAGTTATTACAATTTTTATATTAGGACATAAGGCTGGCTCTCAAATAATGTATTTTTCCTGTCTTCATAAATGCTTTGGGTATGTCTCTAATTGGGCACAGTTATAGGACTGATCTTTCTGGGTTGAAGACGTGCCTGGATGTTAGTCTTAGCTCTATCGTGATGAAAGTAGTGGTATGACCATGAACAAGTCACATCACCTCCATGAGCCTCAGTTTACTCACTTAAATGACCTATGACATCTTGGAGCTATAAATTTGCTGTGATTTTTTTTAAGGTGAAAGGAAGTAATTACTTTAAAAAGACTGTAAAGAACTTTTTCAGTGCAATGCATGTAAGCCTGGAGTTCTTTAATATTTCAAGAACAACTAGCATTTGATAAACTTCATCTTAGTTCCCAAATTATCTCAGGCTTTTCTCTAATTTTGAAAACATAATTTACTTGTAGGCTAGTAAATCCATGTACTAGCCAGGTACTTAATTTATTATTTGAATTCTGTTTATTTAAAATATTATTTCATGCCCACAATGAGAAGTTTTTAGACCACAGAGAATTTATGATTTCTTTGGCCCCTAAGCTTCCATTCTCTTTATCCTTTAATATAAGTAACATTTTTGTTTGATTTATTACTCTTAAGTACCGAAAATTACTTACCAGTGATCTTCAAAAGTATAAGATATATAAAAACTTGTCTAAAATGCAGATAGCTACAAAATACATTTAATCCTATTTTTGTAACTCTGCAATGTTTAAAATGCATGAAAATATTATTTTAAAAAATAGATTAGGTCATTTTGGCAAAAAAGAAATGCATTTCCTAAGGTTATAATGGTTCCTTCATTTATTTCAGGTTGCAAGATTTACTGTGGTCTATAGATTAAAAATCTTAATTTGCATGAAGAATATTCAAAGAGTGACCATGTTTTTGAAAATTAGTTTAGAAAGTATTTCCAAAATACAGTATAAACTTTTTTTCATTGTCATTTTAAGATATAGTCTTTTAAATCACTTTTATGACACTTTGGAGGAAAGTATCTTTCATTATACACTTTTGACTATCTTTAAAATGTTGGTAGGTACAGTCAGATATAAAAATGTGCAATACATAAGTAAATTGGTCATGCATTAGATTGCTTAGTAATAATTTGCAAAAAGTTTCTGTGAATTGCATCTTTAAACATGAGTTGAATAGATTGTCGTAAACATTGGAACCTTTAAAACCAGTTTACTTTTTTTCCCATCTATGATCAGTTAATGGAAGTATAAGAGCTAAATTAAATATGCAGTATACACTAATATAAATATTGGCATAAGGAAAATATTCTCAAACTTCAAGAGAACCTTGATTGTTTTCCCTCATATATATATATATATGTGTGTGTGTGTGTGTGTATATATATATATATTTTTTCTTTTTTTCGCTAAATGTAGCAGTCACATTTTAAAACCTTTTTAATGCAGGATTGACCTTCCACCCACACATAAGCCACCTCCTATGTATGAAGAACGATCCCCTCCTTTGCCTCAAAAAGACCTTCTATATCAGGTAAGTGTTTATGAGTTCACTTAAAACGAAATAAAAAATACTAAGCAGTATACATTATTTGTTTCAAAATGTTATCCAGTCATGGTAATTTAATTATTGCATAATAATATGTACTAATTTCTCTGGAATATTTAGGGGATCAAATTCTGTCTACAAATTGGTAAGAAAAAAAAGTTACGACCAGTGTAAAGACAAATCAACACAAAATATTACTAAAGACTTATGCGTGCAGACTTATTGTTAATAGTTTTATTTACGTACAGATTTATTATAAAATACACATTTTTATATAAAATAAAAGAAAGGGAAATTTAATGTCTTTGGTAGGGTATAATGAAGAGCTTTTTCTCCTTGGAGTATACATTTTATTTTTGTTTCTTTTCAGTATACCCAACGTCTAAATTTTAGCATTCCTTTATTTAGTAACAAAAGGTTTATATTCCAGTTTAAAAGTCTGGCGATGAATATTGAGCCCCACATACATTTATGATTGATAAGTTTTAAAGTTTCTTTTGGAATCAGTTTTATAGTAATTCAGTGCTTCTATCTTGTGTTCTATACTTAGATTAATATGCTCTACTTGGAAAAGTTTAAACCATCAGGATATTTGCGTGTGTTTATTCTTAGCTTTAGTTTTGTTTTTGTTTGTTTGTTTGTTTTTCCGCTGTCACCCATGCAACCTATTGGGGCTCTAACCGTATATTGGAGTTTTATTACTTGTGAGAACATTCTATGATATTTTCTTCATAAAATAGTTCCCATATCTTCAGCTTGAATAGGCTAATTATTTGCCCACCAGTTAATTTATTTTTTTTGGTGGAAAAACTCCAAGGAGAATATATCCATTAAGCTATTCTCAGTTTCTGTCCATGTACTGTCCCAAGAATGAGGCAGGGAGGAGCATTCCCTGGCATGTGCACTCATTGACATTGGGCACCAGTATTGTCATCTTACACAAGTTTGGTGTCTTAGGAGTGAAGACATGCCATCTTTTCTGACCTCTTCATTTCATATAACGAATGTAGCCTCACATTTCCTTTGGCAGGCAAATGAACTTAACTAAGGTGAAATGACAACAAAATATTTAACTAGAGCTGTTGTTAACTGCTACAGAAAGATTTCTGTCTTCCTCCCTCCACAAAGGTAGTAATTAAACAGAAGATTTCTAGATTCAGTTTGGGGAATGTTTTTAGAATGTTAGTAATTTTCTAAGATAATTCTAATTGCATATATTTTTATTCTTGTTTATAAAATCAATTGATTATGTAATTTGTTATTATTTAATATTTTCAAGTTAAATATTTATAAAAGCTTATGCATTGGAAAAAATCATTTTGCTCAGATCATGTATTTTGTGTTTTAGTTAAGAAAATATGATTTCTATGTATGTAGGCCCTGCTAAATAAATACAAAAGGAAGATTTTTCTTGAATGATTTGAGTTTATTGTGGTACAAAATGCAAGTTTTAATATCTTTGAAGTCAAAGGAGGCTTCCTGGATGGATCGATTTTGGAGGTAGAAGTTTTGAAGTGTGTGATAAAATTACTCACTTGTTGATAAGACTTATTTGACTTTTAGTAAATTGCATAATCAAAAGCATATACCTGGGTGAAAATGAGAAGAGTTATATGGAAAAGTAATGGAAATTTTAGAAAGAAAATTGATGGGAGAGCACCTGCAATGGATAATGACAAATTGAACTTGTGGCGTTAGAGATCATTTAGTAATATTGTGACTTTGTCCTCATCTATAAAATTAAGCAGATGAAAAACATAATTGTTTGTTTCCCTCTTCTAGCTATAAAACTGATTCTATAAAATCTTGCTAAGGGTCAACTAGTTGCTGTCATTTTGCTTAAGAAAGTCAGAACTTGAGTTGGAGACGAAATAATTCTTAGTTCCATAAAGCTTTTAAGAATAACTTAGGCTAAACTCTATCAGTAAGACAATTTATGATTCATGCATTATAATGTCAAATGTTAATTATATGGCTTTTGTGTTTTAATTAATGTTGTGATATCAAAATGCAAATTATATAGAACTTTTTTTTCTGGTTACCAAGAAATCTGTATATGAGTATGTAATTGCTATCTAATTAGCTTCATGCAATGCTAGCATGTTGTAATACTAAATGCCTTTTAATTTTCTACTTCACTGAAATGTCAACTTTAAATTCATGATGTATTTCCTACTTGAAGTCATTAGTCCTCAGCCCTCACAGTCAGGCCTAGTGACCTAGTAACCCAGGCTATGTTCCCAAATGTCACTGTGGCTCACTTGTTCTACCCATCGGTGTTCTACCATTGGGAAATCACAACAAGAAGCAGTTTTTCACTACCCACATTTGTGCGCCCCGCTTTAACCATTGCTTTTGTGGTAATAGTGCCAAAACTGATCCCTGAGAATTTTCCCTCTAAATATGTTAGTCAGGACGATGAGGCCTGGTATGGTGAAGAGGCAGTTTCCTTGAATGGAAACTCTATGATACTGCAGAGATGATGCAGTGTAAGAATGAGGGAAATAAAAAGGAATGCCTTTCCTGTAGTCTAAGAATAATTTAGAAATACCACTGGCTTGTCACATTATTGGATAATAATCCTACAAAAGTGAGTCTTTATTTAGGAAACAAATATTAACTGATGACATTAAAATGTATTTTACCTTTTTATTATGTTTTACTTTCTTAATATTATATACCTAATACATAAGTATATTCTTGGTACCGAAAAAAGCCAAACACTACAGAATTTATATAGTCATGTGTGCAAGTCCACGTTCATTTACCTACCCTCAAATAAATCATTCCCTTCCCCAGAGATCACTAATGTTTTGAACTTAAATATCCTCTGAGACTTTTTCCACTAATTGACTTTCACACATATGTCACTTATAACCAAATCTACAAATATTATTTTAAAACATAAATGTGGTCATAGAATACATATTATTCTAGAAATTGTTTTTCACTCTATTACAGACCAATGTTTTTCAGAGTGGCCAGTGTTGCCACCTTTATTATAATATTTTGGGTTATTAAAAATGAAGATTCTCAAACACAGTGTCAGGTTTACTAATCAGAATCCCTGAAGTTGGAGACAATAGGCATTTTACCTTGCTCACGGGGTGAATTTTAATACACTTTCAAGTTTGAGAACTATTGCTGTCTCTGTATCTCATTCTTAATAGCTGTTACATAGTATTTCATTATGTTGATTACCACAAATTACCTATTTTCCTAGGTTGTTTCTAATCTTTTTCAATAACTATAATTGTTGCAGGGAGGATACTCTTATATACTTTATTGTACACATGTATTCATAAAATAAAAGCAAAGAAGTAGATTACTGTGAAAAATGTTTACATTTAAATAGGTACCATATTTCTGGCCAAACTAGCTATATCAATTTATATTCCCATAAATAGTACAGGAGTCCCTCCTCCATCTGTGGTTTCATTTTCCATGGTTTCAGTAACCTGTGGTAACCACAGTCCAAAAATATTTAATGGAAAATTCCAGAAATAAACAATTCATAAGTTTTGTATTGTGTATAGCTCCAAGTAGTGTGATGAAATCTTGTGTTATCTTACTCAAGGCCACTTGAGACATGAATTAATCCTTTGTCCAGTGTTTCTGCTACCTGCCCATTTGTCACTTAGTAGCCATCTCAGTTATCAGGTCAACTGTTATGGTGTCTCAGTGCTTGTGTTTCAGTAACCTTTATTTTATTTACTAATGCCCCAAAGCCAGTCACATAACTTTTATTACAGTATAATGTTTATTCTATTTTATTATTAGTCATTATTAATCTCTTACTGTGATTAATTTATAAATTAAGCTTTATTATAGGCATGCATATATAGGAGAAAACATAGTATATATAGGGTTGTCACTGTCTATGGTTTCAGGCATCCACAAAGGGTCTAGAAATATATCCCCCAAGGATAAGGGGTGACTACTGTATATCCATTTCCCTCTCTAATACTGTTTAGTGGAACTTTTTTTTTTTTTTACCACTTCGATGAAACTAGAAAAATAGCTCATTTCAAAACTTTGTAGATTGCTTGTTGAAGTTTCATAATTGATCACCTGTTTGTTCCGTAAACTACTTATTTGCATAATTTTTTAAATTTTCAGTTACTTTTGAACTTTGTTAACTTTTTAGGAACTCTTTGATATAGACAATAATCTTTTGTCTTATAGCCATCTCTTATTTTTCAATTTTATAGATTTTTTTTTTTTTTACAAAAAATACCAACTTTGTTTATTGAATAAAAACAGTGGTAAAATTGACATAAAGCCAAAAGTTAGGACAATGTATTTTCACATCCTCCCTCAACACAAAACCGTACATCCCATCATCTAGGGTTACGCCATTAGGGAGCCAGAGACCCCTAATATCCCTCACTCTTCACCTGTACTGGAAGCGAGGCCTGTAGTAGGAGAACCCAGGAGAGGAGGGAATCAGAGGCCACCGCAGTCCTGATTGCTTCTTCATCCCTAAAAGTCTCTGGATTGGAGGGAAACAGGGTAGCTATAAAGGGGACAGAGGAGCTGGGACTGGCATCTAGGGCCACTGCCCAGCATGTCCTAGAGATGGTTACCCTTGTCCCTATCCAATCTCTAGTAGGTACCATTGTAAGGACTTGGAAAGGAGAAGAAAGGGATAGTTGGTTTAAGAACCAGATGTCTTCTCCAAACCATTCCCCAGCATTAGTAAAACCCCTGAAGGTCACCAGGCCAGGGCTGAGGACCCACACCTTTTCCCTCCCACCTAACCAAGAGGTTAAAAGGAATTCTTTGGGACACAGCAAGCCAGCTGCTCATGCACCTCCATATCAGTTTCCTTGTCGTTGTCATGATCTCCATCATACAATGCATTGGGTGCCACTGGCCTGCTGTAGTTCTCAGGACCCCTCTCCTCTACATCAGCCTCATCAGTCCCGTCATAGGTCAGGAGGTCAGCTGGCACATCATGAATCTGGATGCTAGGTGCCTCGTTC